TCTGAGGCTGAATTCTGAAGGGCACCAAAGAGAAAAGGAAAAAAAGAAAATTATCCTAAACCACAGCTCTGGGTAAGCATCAGGAGGGGAGAGTGGTCCCGGCAGGTAGGGCCTCCCCCATCTAGGCAGATGTGCATGAGCGCAGTCCACACATGAAGAACCTCCACGTGGAGGCCAGCTGTCAAAGTGACCTTGGATCCCTCCTGCCACCTTCGGTTTAATTGCTTGAGCCACATCCTCTGCTGTCACCTCCTCTCAGCCGGCTTCACCAGAGCGCAGGGGTCTGCACTCCCTGGGTCGGGGAGGGCAGCTGTGTGTTCAGGTGAGGCAATCGTGGGCAATGCAGGTTAGGGGTCCATGATGAAGTAGTGACGGCTCTTTGTGTTTCAGGTGTCCTCGGCACGTTGCACAGGCTGTCTGCCCACTGTCCAGAGGTAGGGAAGGAGGCTCAGAGAGGTTAAGTGACCTGCCTGCAGTCGCCAGCTAGGCAGACAGCCCAGGACTTCGCCTGGCATCCTGCCTGGTGGCCGACCCCAGAATCCCTGTGCTCCGCAGACTCAGCCTCCAGGGGCCTTGGAGAGTTCCCATGACACTAGCGTGTAAAAGATTCTGAGGAATTCAGCAGAAAATTAAGAAAATGGAGCTGTTTATGTTTCTGCATGTCAGCACTTCTCATTTCTTTGTCCAAGAGAGCTTCCCTGCTTGCTTTTTAAAACTGGGGTTATTAGTACTCAGGACTCAGAGACGGGAGGCAGGGTGCCAGGTGTGGGGTGGGGGTCTCACGATGCAGAGAGGCAGGGTGCCGTGGGGGTCTCCGCTCTGCACAGGCCTGGAGGAACTCCTCCCGGCTCCGTGTCGTCTCTGAGCCTGTGTCCCCAGGTGCTGTCAAGTTGCTGTCCAGGAGCAGTCACAGGGCCAGCGGCTGGGCAGGATCACTAGGTGCACTCAGGGCTGTGTGTGTTGGAGCTGGTCCCAGAAAAGCCCTCCTCACCCCAACATTATCCAGGACATTTTAATTACAAGAGAAAAAGAACATTTCCCCACGCCCCCAAAGTTGAAGTGGAAGGATCTAGTAGACGGAGTTGGTCTCACATCTGTCTGGGACCAGGGACTAAAGGTCTCTGCCTGCCTGAGCTCGGCCTTCCCATGAGATGGCTTCCTTCTTGGTACCGCTCTCCCATGGTGAGGGCAGGATGGAGGCTCCATCAGCTGCTCCTGTGGAGTCCAGGCAGCCCCAGGCCCTGCCTCTTCCTGGACACAACTGGGTCACGAGCCCACCTCTCAGCCACTCTCTGGCACCAACAGGATGTGCCACTTCTTTGATTAGCCAGGCTTGTGCCATATGCCTTGAGTGGGCGGAGCCCTCCCTTCATCACATGGAAAGTGAGGGGGGGGGTGTCCCCTCCTGTCTGTCCATCACAGTCTGTTATGAGAGCAAGAGGGGGCTGGACGCTGGGCAGATATACTCAATGAGGGTGGTTTGCTGGGAGCTGGGAGCAACCTACCCTGTGGCTTCCCCTTCAACACAGCTGTTCCACTTCTTAGAGCTGCTGGCTGAACCTAAGCAGGTAAGTGAACAAGTGTGCAAAAAATGTGTGTGCAAATATGTGCATGTGTGAGTGTGTATGTGAGATGTTTATTAAAATGTTGCTTATAGCACAGAAAAACCAGAAAGTCAGTCCAAAGAGAATTGTTTAATGAGTTATGAAATATTCTTAAGAGGTTTGCACAATCTTTCCATGTGACCATGTGTGCAATAAAATAATCCTTTGCCAGGAATCATTTGTAAATTCTAATAAAGAGGAACATGCTCAGGTAATTCATCTGTAATGAATCTGAACTTTTATTAAAGTTTTATTTTCATGTAAAAGGGAATTGTATAAAAATGGGATTTATTAAGAGAGGAATAATAATTAAATAAATCACTCACTTCTAAATACTATTGCAACCAACAAGAAATGATGCAGGTCTGTATTTGTTCATTTACACTGTCTACAGTATATTATTGAATGGAGAAAAAGGTTCCAAGAATTTTCTCATTTTGGAAAAATTGCTTATCTATCTTTTTGAATATGAACAAGTAAAGAGATTTTAGATAATTTCCCCAATATTAGCAGTGTTAATTTCTGAATTGAAAGTGCTATGGAAAATTTTAATACTCTTTTAATTTTTTACCACAAATGTGTATGTTTGTAATCAGAAAAAGTCAACTTATTTATTATTTTCAAAGAAAACTCATTATAGCCTGAGCTCATGTAGGATTCCTCAGTCCTAAACCTGTTCATAGAATCTGATTATTCAAGGATGATATTGCACCAGTGACTGCTAGGGAATTGCTCTGGGTTCCTGTTTCCTGAAGTCCCCTCTCCTGTCCTTGCATGGTCATCTGGAGGCCTGCACTTCAGCAGATTTTGATGCTCATGGTGTAGGGGGAGGTGGGCCACCTCTGGGCTCTGCCCATCTCGTCTGTAGGCCTAGAACAGTAAAGCTTTCCTACTCAGTGTCTCTCTCCTGTCCCTCCTTCTCTCTCCATAGAAGGGGGAGGCTGTCTCCAGTAGCAAAGCCGCCAGGTGCCATTGTGTCTCTGCCTCTGGACACAGGTGCACCCAGGCCGGCCTGGGGCCTTGCACAGTGGTCTGGAAGTTGAGAAACCCTTTTCAGTCTGGCCATTAAATTGCTTTGTGAAAAGGAGCGCGTTCTGTTTTAATTTCCTGTCACTGACACTGAGTTGTTTTTCAGCTGTCCAAAAGACAAAAGGACCTTTGCTGCCGCTCTGTCAAGCATCCATCATGCCGCAATTTACAATTCACGAAAGCTTTTTGGAGCAGTTGAGCTCACCTTTAGGTTGCTGTAATTTTAAGCTTTTGCCATTCTTCAGTCTGTGTTTCCAACAAGGTTATTATTAAAGGAAAAGTGCTAATTAAGTTTGAAATAAAAAGCTGGAAGTTTCAAGGTGTTTATCTTGAGTCACGGCACAAGGCAAAATTGTCCTAATGTGGTCCCTCATCTTAGTACTCAGACCACACTCTTTGTTGTATTTCTGCTCAACTCCAAAGAGTGGAGGGTCTCAGGATGTGGTATATTTTCCAAAGAAAGCTGTTTGGATAATCAGAGATTCAGCAAAGACCATCCCTGATACCTGTGGCATGCATTCTCCATGCTGTGGCCAGGGTTGGTTGACTAAGTTACTGAGACGAGTTCTTAGCAAGTTGCTCTCCTGCTTACGAACCTTGGATGACCCTCCATTGCCCTTGCAGTGCAGCCCAAGCCCCTCGCTGTGGCGTTGCAATACCTTCCCACTCAACCCCAAGCTGCCACGTCCCTGTTGAGCGCACGGAGGCTGGTTTTCACCTTTACACAAATGACCCTCCCTCCAATGCCTGCCCTCACCCTCCCTGGGAGACCACCAGGCCTCCCCTGGTCTGCAACCCCTAAAGGCCTCTCAAGTTCCTCTGAAAGGCTTGGCCTCGCAGACTCAGATTCAATAGCTCGTCTTAACTCCATTCTATGCCCTTGGGGGAACCAAGGCTGAGCACCTTGGCTGATCACTGGGGTCTCCTGGGCATTTTGAGAAAAATACAATTTCTAACCCCCCACCCCAACCCCGTCAGACCAACAGCATTAGAACCTTTCAGAGAGGTGCCCAGGAATCTATGAATTTAAAATAGTTTTCCAGGTGATTTGGACTGATAAGCAGGCTTGGGTACCACAGCCATGCATTTTCCATGGGCTCAGGCTGTTGATGGCCAGGAGGAAGCAGACAGGGGTTGGGGGAGGTCGAGTGCTCAGGTGCACTGAGGGCTGTCTGTGTGCCAGGCTCTGCTCTAGGAAATGTCACACCTGCTCATTGAATCTCAACTACCTTGAGCCATAGATGTGGGCATGGTCACCGGCACAGATGAGAAAACCAGGGCTCAGTGAGACACTGGTAAGTAGTGGAGCTGTGTTTTTTCTTTTTTTACTAGGGATTGGACCTGGGGGGCACTTTACCACTGAGCCACATCCCAGCCATTTTTTAAAATCTTTTATTTTGAGACAGGGTCTTGTCAAGTTGCTTAGGGCCTGGCTAAGTTCCCGAGGTTGGCTTTGAACTTGCGATCCTCCTGCCTCAGCCTCCCGAGCTGCTGGGATTACAGATGCATGCCACGGTGCTCTCTATGGGCTCATGTTCTTCTCCTTCTCCTTCTCCTTCTTCTCCTTTGTTAGATAAGGGTTAGTTAAAATAAAAATTTTAAATGCACTGTGCCCCACTCCTCTCCATCCAACCAACCTGCATGACCAAGGTGTTCTCTTTGTTCCTGTCCTCTCCCCCCTCCCCCCCCCCCGTGGAGACCGCAGAAACAGACTGAAATGTCCAAAACTGTGAGCCAAAATAAATCTTTTCTCTGTTGAAGTTGATTTATTTTGTTCTGTGATGGCTGACTCACACACATGACATGATCCTATTAGTGAATTTCCATAAAATTATATGCACATGTGTTTGCATATTTGAAAACTGGGAAACATTAACAGTGTAAATCTAGTCAGTTCATTCCTCTACCGAAAACATGCCAATGGCTCTTTGTTATCCTGTGGATAAGTCCGGAGTCTTTAGCCTGGTTCAGAGGTCCTTGTTCCCTTCTCCACTCTCCTGTAGGTAAGCGCCTGCCTCATTCTCTGGGTCACACGAACACATTTCCCTGTTCTTCTTCTCTTCAGGGCCCGTGGGTCTCTGCCCCTCTGTTCTGCCTCCTGCTGCTCCCCTTTTCCAAGACACCTCCTGCTCTATGTTCCTGGATGATTCTCACTCAGACTTACTTGCCTGTGCTCAGGTGTACAGCGTGAGGTTTGCATGTGCATATCCACAGTGAAGGGATCATTACTACAGTCTGAGGCTCAGCTTAAGAACCAGTTTCTTGGAAGGTTTCCCCTGACCTTCAGAGGTGGGGGGTCATCTTGGAACTTATTCCTGTGGTGTGGGGCGGGGGGGGGGTGGGAATCTCTCTCCAAGCCTTCTTGCTCTCTAGGGCTCTCTCAGCCATGGTGAGCTCTTTAGTTTTCTGGAGGAAGCACATCCTCTCGGCACATGTCATCTGGGAGGCCTGACTTGTCTTCCCAGCACTGTGGAAACTGTCCCCTCACCACACCCTCTGTCTCTCTGGACCCCTGTGTTCCTTGGAGGCCCGGGGTTCCCACTCTATCCCCTCTGCTTCTGTCTTGCAGTAGGAATTCCGGGGCAGAGGAGCTCTCTTCCACACCACTGTAGACGGGCACCTGCCTGGAGATCGTGTCTGAGAGCCGAGAGGGGGCTACTGGGGGGGATGACTTCCACTTCCAGAACCTGCTGATGCTGACGCTTGCTGTACCAGAGAGAACTGGCTGAGGAGGTGTTCAAGGCCAGGGCAGGTAACGTCAGGGCGAGTGATGAGGGCATGGATCCACTGTTCATTTAGCACTATTATTCCCTCCCTTCCTTCCTTCCCTCCTTCCCTCCTTCCCTCCTTCCTTCCTTCCTTCCTTCCTTCCTTCCACTGGAGAATGAACTCAGTCTGTTTAACCACTGAGTTACATCCCTAGCCCCAGCCCCTTTTTATTTTCAGACAGTCTTTGTAAGTTGCTGTGGCTGGCCTTGAACTTGTGATCCTCCTGCCTCAGCCTCCTGAGCTGCCAGGGTTACAGGTGTGCACCCCTGCACCTGGCTTCCTACATGTTCTTTAAAAAAAAAATTGTTTTTAGTTGTAGATGGACACAATACCTTTATTTTATTTGTTTATTTTTATGTGGTGTGGGGGATCAAACCCAGTGCCTCAAGCATATTAGGCAAGCGCTCTACCGCTGAGCCACAGCCCCGTCCCCTACATGTTTCTGATAAAACATGTTTATGAGAAAACAAAGCCCAAATTCACACGAAGAGGAAAAATTGGTTTCATTTTCAAACCATACTGATAATTTTTTAAAATAACGATAGCTTTATTTCTGCAGGCTGTTGCATCTCTGTATATATAAATCAGGAGGGAAACAGCAAAGCATTTTGTTGTTGTTGTTGTTTATTTTTTGACTTTCCCATTCCAGGAGGTATGGGGAAGCCAGGTTTCCATCGAGATCTTTACCTTCTGGAAGTTCAGAGAAAACATTCAGATTTCAAAAGGAGAAGAGAATGGGGAACTAGCTTATGCTACGTGGATCTTTGAAACCTGGGGGTGAGGTGTGTGCTAATTCCAAGAGCTTTTTATATTAAATAACCCAAGCTCGCTACGCTATTTGCGGCCCCCTGTGCTCTGTGCAGAGAGAGGACTGAGGTGGATAATAACTCCCATTGGTGCGGGAGGAGGCTTCCCAGGCAATTCCCTTCATAGATGGGCAAACAAACAGAGCGTCCTGCTTAGTAAGGCAACATGACTTGGGTGTTAGCTTTTTCTCCCAAAAAAAGACCCCTGGTGGCTGGCTGTCTTTGAAGCGGGCGAGGCAGACGCCCTCAGTGCACAGGGCCAGCCTGCTTCTCCTTCTCGTCAGGACGGTCCAGCATCCTCAGCCTCTGCTCCAGCCTCTGCTTCCATTCTTCCCGGAGCCTGGGAGGGGACACAGCACACGAGGTCATCAGCCCATTTGTCTCTAAAGCTGCTGTCCCTGCAGAGGGTTTCCTTTTTTAGGAATAGAAAAATAATTCTTCCCAAATTGATATTAGACTTCCTATCGCAGTCCAAGTAAGGCATTTCTGTAGCAGTTGACAAGCTGGTTGCAAATTGTCTGGAAAGCCATGTGCCTGTGATCCCAGCTTCTCAGAGGCTGAGGCTGGAGGATCACTCTAATCTAGGAACTGGAGGCCAGCCTGGGCCATATAGCAAGACCCCATCTTAAAAGAAAACAAACAAAACACCAACAAAAAACCCCAATAATAATTTCTATTGTCTTCATACTTACTATAAGTTAATACAAATTAAGTCTTAATACTTAATTTATATTGTCTCAAAATCACTACCTGGTTAATACAAAGCTGGAATCATTATAATGTGGCCTTGGCAAAGGAACAAGCTGGGGGGCTGGCACACAATAGAGTCCAGAAATAGACACTGATGTGGCTAATTGGTTTGTGATAAGGGGCAGAGACAACTGAACAGAGCAAGAATAGAATTTTTAAAAAATGGGTGCTGCAACACTATTATATATCTATGTTTAAAAAAAATGGACTTTGAATCTACTGGGTGGGAATACTTTTCCTGTACCCCCCAAAACATGCATTAAACTCCTAACCACCATGGTGATACTGTTAAACTTTGCTTAATTATCAGCCTGGAAGAAAATGGGAAGAATCTGTAGGTGTAGGGGATTAGGTAATATATACTTAATATAGGAAAAGCCAAATGCAGAAAAAAGAACAAAGAAAAATTAGATTCACCTTAATTTTTCACTCTGATGAGTAACTCTACAATGAATGCAATACTTATGTTCTTTCCATATTCCAGTCTGTTTTCCTGAGAGAGATTCCCATGGGTGAAATATCATAACTTAGAAGGGATAAATATTATGAAGGCTCTAGGCACCAAATTGGCTTCAGGAAAACTTATTTAAGTCTCTGCTCAATTATGGGCCCAGGAAAGAATGGAAGGAATCCGGAGTCAGCCTGTTGTTTAGTGGTGCCCATGGCTGACGCACCTTAGCAACCAAGGACTGGAAGTTGAAATGTGGATAGAAGAATGAGGGACACCGGGGAATGTTCCAGGACATCCACCACCGTCTTCCTCCTATGTTAACTTTAAATAAAAGTCAGTGACATTACAATAGAGCTTGCCTGCTTGCAGAGGGGTGCAGAGCCTGGGACTGCTGCTCCCAAGTGGGAAGATGGCCTGAGAAACAATCTGTCGAGCTTCTAGGACCTTCTATTCGGATGTCCACCTATTAGTAATTTTTATAATTATATTTCTTCACTGTGGTTATGAACTTGTCATTCTGTATTTTAATTTCTAATCAGCTTCTCCAATCTGAAGAATATCCAGCTTTACAAACTCTGAAAGGTTCTATAAAAAAAAATCCTCTTCCATTGATTTTTGTCGCCTGGGATCTTTTACCGCTGACCAACAAGGTTTGCTGCCTGGGTGTGGCATTGAACTTGATGGACTTCTTAATACAATGTGGATTCATTATTTCACAAAAGGAGCTTTGACTTTTACTTGGTCAGGTGGTCATGAAAACTCTTCACTCGGACATGGTGGACAACTGACGGGCGGCTATTGGAGCACTCCTGCAGACGAATGTGGATCTGCCCCAAGTCAGATGCCAAGGCCAAACTTCTTGTGGGCTGCTCCCGGCCAGTGACGGAGCCCAGCTGAGCTCTGATTGCACATCCATTCCTGAAGGAGCAGAACTTCTTTCACAGGTGACTTTGGCTCAAGGTCTCCCCAATAGTCTGGCCCAAGTTTATGAGGCCTGCATTGCTGTCCCCCAACCCTCCTTCCTTCCCTTTGTCCTGCATGGAGGTCAGGACTGTCTCAGAGTCTGAAGACTCTTGCTACCTTCTCAGCCTTCCTCCCAGTGGTGTGCTGGAGCTGGCTTTTAATGCATAGTCTGTGAGGGCCAATTATTAATTATTAGATTTTTGAGTTCATTATTAAATACAGACATTATTAAAAATAAATTATAGAAACTTATAGTTAATTAAATTATATTAAAAGAAAAGATGAGGACAGAATTCATCGCTTCCTAACTATTTATCATGTTTCCCAGTGCTCTGTGCTCTGCGGGTTATTGAGGCCTGGGGTATCTGTGTGGTAAAGGACTGTACCACAGGGTGCTGTAGCCAAGTGTCACTTCTGAACTCATCTTCCTGGATGGCACTGGTAGCTTGACCAGTGGTAGGAACATTTGCACCACACAGATGTCAAACACTATTATACACAGATTTAATTTACGTTTTTGTTCATTGCAGGACAACGATTTGGCCCTCTGGCCCAATCTAGACAGTTTTTGTAAATGAAGTTTTATTGGAGGATGGCCCTGTAAGTGTGTGGACCTGTTTAGTTGACACATGGTCATCATTGCTTTCTCACTACCATGGCAGAGCTGAGTCACTACAGCACAGACCGTGAGACTTATCAAACCAAAAATATTTATTCCCTGGTACTTTTGAAAAAGTATTTGCTGACCCCTGGTCTACATTTAAGAGAGCCATGGGGGAAATTTGAATCATTCCGACTAAAGTTAGAAGAGTGGCACGTCTATAGCTATCACGTTTGGAATCCAAAACAGTTGAGGAAATGTTCTTTCAGAATTAAAAAAATCAATTATGAGCAATGACGTGCACTTGGTGGAACTGGATAGCCATTGAATACTTCTTTGTTGTTGGATTTTGTCAAATCATGCTTGCATTGCATGGTGGGCTATAGATACAAGAGGTTGCCCAAAACTCCCAAGAGCATGCTGGGAGAATCAGTGGGCTGTATAGAATTTCCGGTAAAGATCATACTGCATTTTCCTGTTATTTGCAAGTCGTGTGCTATAGGGCCTTGGTATCCGTGAGATTTATAGCAGACGTGTGCGTGGATTCACATGTGCTTCTCCCCAGAGCCAGTTGCTAAGCAGGGATCAGCATACCCTCGCTTCTTCCCATTTTTCTTCCATAGGTGCTTCCCCCAATAAATCGTACGCACATCTAATCTCGCCTTGGCCTCTGCTTCTTAGAGGACCTGAATCAACACATTTGGTCTGATGCATTTCTTCTAGGACGCGGCTTAGGAATCTGGGATTCATAACACATTTATCCACTTTTTATAGTAGCCCTGCCACTATTTATTGCCAAACAGTGAAGGATTCAGGTTCCCATCTTCCCAAATGACCTTTAAATCCTAGTTTATGAATATTTAGACTGATTGCTGCTCCTTTTTGGTCAATATCTTTCATCGCTGTGTTGCTTCTGCTTAATTTTGGGTTCTTAGTAAACTGGTGAATATAAATGGAGCTTTTACTTTGCAATGGGGGCGGTCACCGTGAGGAAGATAATGCTTAAAAATTAGTGTATAGATTGAGATACGTGAGTGGAGTGAGAAAACAGGCACTAATGCTCACGAGGGGCGTTTTTACCTTCAGCCTAGAAATGCCTCATTTTTCAAAGGGAGGCCAAATCTTATTTATTATTTGCTGTTCTGGATCCTTCCGAGTTGTGCAGGAGTTGTGGCTCCTATCTAGAAACACAGATTCTCCTTGGTAAGTATGGGCCTTAACTAGAAGGCAGGGTGATGCTTGTGAAGGTCTTCGCCATAATTGTAATGTCCTTACTGGGCACCAGTAAGGATCAACTGGGCCCATCATTGTACTTTTTCTGTCATTTACCAGGCATTAGACATCTGTGTTATTTGGGGTCCTCTAAGAAGCAGATTTAGGAAAAACAAAGTGGGAGGAACAGAGTGGTTAGGAAGGGCCAGCAGCCTCCAGTGCTGATCTGACGTCTGTGGAAGAGGGAAAGGGAGCAGAAATGGCGGGGTAGGAGGAGCCCCGTGGCACAGCCCCCTTCTGAGAAAGCTTGGGTTGGGCTGACCGGGAGTCTCTGAGCAAACCCTGGCCCTCGGAGGAGCCCTGTCATGCAGGACTTGTGTGGGAAGAGCACCTGCCATGCTTAGTCGCCGGCTGGGGGCTGCCCAGGGGGCAGTGTGGCCTCAGCTCCGTCACCATGACCGATGTGGGGAGGTGGCAGCTGGAGGATCGGTCAACTGTCCTCCGCAAAGGAGCTCAGAGGGGGACCAGAATTGTGGCCGTAATATGCGAAGAAGAGAAACGAAAACAGCAATCCCTTCCCCCGAGGAATTTATAATTGACGGATTCCTTGATCTCCTAGTTCAGATCTCATTACTCCAATCTTCTCTCCTGTGTTTTGTTTACTATGAAATGTTGGATGGTGATTTTGCTCCTCCTCCTGCATTCCAGGAGGGACAGGATCTTTATAGTTGTTTTCCATGGTGGGGAGAGTGGGGTCTGAGCTTGATTCTGTGTGTTTCTATGTGACTACCCAGGTCACAGGGCAGAGCTCAGTCAATCAACACAGGCCAAAAAGCTTCCACATGCTCATCATCTGAGCAACTCCACTTACCAACCACATTTTCTATTCTCGTTTTGGGTGACAAATCTACCTAAAAACGTCCTCTCTGCTTATCCTTTGTAGACTAATCCTTTTTTTTTTGGTAGCAGGGATTGAACCCAAGGGCCTTTGACTGCTGAGCCATGTCCTCAGCCCTTTTTTATTTTTTATTTAGAGACAGCATCTCACTGAGTGGCTTAGTGCCTAGCTAAGTTGCTGAGGCTGGCTTTGAACTCATGATCCTCCTGTCTCAGCCTCCTGAGCTGCTGGGATTACAGGCATGTGCCACCGTGCCTGGCTTGTAGGCTAACTCTGTGAAAAGTTTGAAATGGCAGTCTGGTTTGGCCAGCACATGAAGAGCAGGGGGTTTTGTGGTTGGCAGTGATAAGCATCCTGATGGACAGAGCTGATCACTAGGCTGCAGAGCAGAGGGTGGGAATGGGCTCAGGACGGGCTTGATGTGTCCCCTTTTCAATCTCACCAGGTATGATCACTATCCCACACTGAGTTCTGCTAAATTCTGAAGACCTCCCTTCTTGCATTAAGACATTTCACTGAATGGCTGTGTAGTTTCTCAGTGATAGCTATAGGCTAGTCATGTAGCTTTACTTGTTGTCAGAGTTATCATCTAAACAGATGCTTTTAAAAATAAAAGGGAATGAAAGAAAAAGTTAGACCAGAGGGATAGCTGTATAGCCGGCCCACCCCCGGCCCACCAGGGGGTCTGAGTGACCCACCAGTGCCTGACTATTCTCCCTCTGTCCCCAGGGGGTGGTTTGCAAACAGTTCCAACTTCTCCAGGGGAACGACACATCCACGCTGTGTTGCTAGACTCGATGGAACTAAGGGTGGTGTTGGTTCCAGTTCTGGGGCCACCTCCTTCACCTTGGGACCCCACCTCCAGGGCCTCTGCCAGATACACCGATCACCAGGGGAAATGGATCTGACTGCCACCTCTAGGTCAAAGAACCAGCAGGCATGTGCTAAGCTTTGGCACAAGATCTCGCCAGGTTAGCTGAGCAGAGGGAGAGGGACACAAGACGTCACTGCCTTCATCTGCTGTATCTGCTTTTCATAAGGGGCTGCTGGGAAATGTGGAGGTTTTTGTTTCCACCCTTCACATTGAACATCTCTTGATTGCACAGTGGTGGTTTTGCCTTTTATAGATGGAAGGTAGAATTTAAAAAGTGTGTGTGTGTGTGTGTGTGTGTGTGTGTGTGTGAGGGGGGGGGCGCGGGAGGGAGAGCAGGCACTGATTGTCCTGGAGTTCAGGAGGCAGAGCCCACAGGGCTGGGGAGGTGAGGCACTGGGGTGTGCCCTCCCTCAGCCAGCACACCCCAGGACACGGTTGGTTCTGTTAGGACAGTGCTCAAACCGTCTGCTCAGATCAGTGGGGATTTAAACAAACATTCTGCCTTTCTGGTTTCAATTTCAAAGTATCTAGACTCTAATTGGGCAGTCTGTTAAATGTGGGATATGTGTGTGGTGTTTTGGTTTTTTTGTTTTAGCAAAGTAGGTTTTCATTTGTTGGCTACCGGATTAAGAAGGCTTTAGGTTTTTTTCCCCTCTTTTTAAAATTTTTACAGTTCATAAAAGCATAGCTCTGGAAAGTGAGCCCAAGAATGGACCACAGAAAAGTCCTTTCCCCAGCTCCTCATGACCCTCCTGTTCTGAGCTATGCAGAAGTGACATCCACATCTTTAAACATTCATTTGGGGAGATGATGATGAATGTTGCATGATGGGCACATGGTGAAGATTTATTTGTTCTTTGGTCATAGAAAGAAGAGAAAACTACTCCAGAATTTGGAAGTGGATGCTTTCTGGGGCCTACGGGAGCCTAGAGAAATAACACGTTTGTTGTACAGACCACTGGCCATTGGTTGCCTTTTAAACAAGTGACTTATTCTCCTAAATACACCATGGCATAGTGTCACTATGGAAACCTTGGGGAACATAGGAGTGTGCATCCTGCCATCCCTCCAACTAAAAAATAGCCACTTATAGTATCTAAGCATATTTTCTTCTAATCTTTGTCCTATATAAGCATATTATATATATGTATATATATCACTATCCTTAAAAAAAATCAAATGATATCAGAGAATTTGCCTTTAATCTAGCACAAGAGGGCTTCCGGAAAGGAAGTTACAGTGCAGGGCTCAGTGAGGGGTCTGGCTCCCATGGTCCAGGACCAAGGGAGAGAGATATCCTCACTTCCCTGGGTGCCCTAGCATGTGACCCTCCTAGGAAGGCCTGATTTTGCCTGACAGGCAACCAGCAACAAGGCTGGACTGATGGGAAAGCTTGTCTCTGGGTATGGAAAGCTTAAAAACTATTTTTAAAATGTGATGTTGAGGGCTGGGGATGTGGCTCAAGTGGTAGCGCGCTCGCCTGGCATGCGTGTGGCCCCAGTTCGATCCTCAGCACCACATACAAACAAAGAGTTGTGTCCGCCGAAAACTAAAAAATAAATATTAAAAAAGTTCTCTCTCTCTCTCTCTTTAAAACAAACAAACAAACAAACAAACAAACTTGATGTTGATAGCTAGGTATGATGGCACACTCTTCTAATCCTAGTGGCTTGGGAGGCTGAGGCAGGAGGATCGTAAGTTCAAAGCCAGCCTCAGTAATTCAGCGAGGCCTTAAACAACTCAGTGAGGCCCTGTCTCAAAAATCAAAAATAAGTAAATAAATAAAAAGGGCTGGGATGTAGCTCAGTGGTTAAGCACCCTGGGTTCAAACCCCAGTACCCCCATGCCCCTCAAAAACGTTTAACCTGTCTGAATTGTGCATATTTTCAGCTCAGCGCACATTGGACAGATGCAGAAATTATGAGCCCTACTGTCCAGCAAGACATGCAACTACCATCCCACTGGTGAGTGGGCTCTTCCCACCTGGACAGAGCTGCTCCACATCACCGCATACCTGAGGGCAGTTGGCTGTATTCATACACACACACACACACACACACACACACAGTTTCCCCACACCCGTGGAGAGGGTTCCCCTGTGGCCAGGCAGACTTCTTTGTCTAGAGCAAGAACATCCACCTGCCCATGGGGAAGGGCCACGTACCTGTCCCCCCCCTCCACAACTTTAACATCTTAACACTCTTACCATCCTGGATGTGGGGTCTTATTAATGAGATTGGTTTTGCACACACAAAAAGTATCCATCAACATGCCCTGACATTTAGTGTGACCTTGAGTGCTGGGCACTGCAACAGTGCAGTGGTGAGGAGAGCTTTTTCCCTCAGTTCATGGAGATGTGAATGACAGGACTTCATTTTGTTTGCGTTTTCAAAAGGCTTATTCACTTCTGTGAGCCACTGGCTCTCAGGGACACTCTGCCCTCCAAGGACCCTCTGCTTCTGCTGACATGGAATGCTTTAGGGCCAGGCACCCAGTGAGCATATTACAGAGCACAGACAGCCCTACTCAGTAAAGAATCTCCTGGCCCTAGGTGTCATAGTGCTGCAAACCCAGTGCCAACGGGACAGACACACCTGAGAAATCCTGGTGTGGATACTGGCAAGAGAAGTGGTTGCATTAACCTTGGGTTTTAGTTTCTGGGTTATGTGATGTTTTGGCATCTTAAGAGGTTTGCTGGCTGGGGAGAGATTGACCCTCCCAGAACTGGCTTTCAAGATAGCAAAAGGCTCAGCCAATCTCCAGACCAACTTTTCCTGAGGCCCCTTACTCAGCCCCCACACACCAGGCAGAATTTCCCCCACCTTGGAGCCCCCTGGAGTCGAGGACCAGCTAGAAACCACTGCTACAGCCCAAGTCCAGCAGAATCATTCAAAGGAGTCCACTGTGCATTTCCCACGGGCCCCCTCCCACACCCAGGAGGCTCTGGCTTGGACTTTCCCACTAGTTACTGACTCTGCCACTTGACCCTAACCCGGACAGACACATTCTGGGACCTGTGAGCCTCAGAAACTTCTTCCTTGCAAGCCTGTTGTCACTTCCTCCTGCGGTACTGACTGTGTCACACACCTGGCCTCTTGCCATCCTGGGACATCGGGTGATGAGCTAATGCAGTCCCTGCTCTTCACACCTGGTGGACTTCTGGGGAAACCTGTTGTAAAACAGCAATGGGGAGACAGGCCACGTACTTTCTCAGGGCGCTCCGTCCCTGGCGATGCTCCTCCAGTTCTCGGTAGCAAGTCTGTTTGCTAATTTCCTTTTCCCAGAAGCTCTTGAGCTCTCTGCAGGTTTCACAGCAGAAGACTTCCCGGCGCACGTATTGATTGTTCATCCCTGAAGCAGAAGCACAAAGTCAACCCGGCCCTTTCAATAACGCCACTTTAATTTTGGATGAGTCTGAAGCCGGCGGCTGCCAGTTATGCTTTTTTTTTTCCCTGTTACGGTAGACACATCACACGCTCAGATTGTGAGTCTATTTTCTCAGCTGCAAATGAGGATAATAACAGTTACATCAGAAAATGCTGGGAAATTTTTTTTTTTTTTTTGAAATGAGCAATGTCTTGGTAACCCTGCCAGACTCCCTGATTCTATAAGGGCCCACCCCTTCCAGGGCCTTGGAGCAATGTTGCAATTCTGTAAACTATAGAAAAATTATAGTAATGTAAACGATCTTTTGAACACAGAAATTCAAATAAACTTTGTCCAGTGGGATGCAAATGATTCACCTATGGATATCAATCAATATTTCATCCACTTGTAAATTCATTTGAGTATTCCTGATTGCCTATATGTGTGTGTTGTAAAAAATTTCCTTTGAATATCAGTTGTAATATCTTACTAGTTTTCTCATTATTTATAAGTAAAATAAAATCTTTGGCATGTATTCATTCTATACTTGGGCGAGAGTCATGATTTAAACTTTATTAAAATATCCTTCAATATTTATTTGGTAGTGTGTATGTGTGTGTGTGTGTGTGTGTGTGTACATGTGTATAAAATGAGTAGATAATCAAAAACTCTGGCCAGCAGTAGTGACTCAGGAGGCTGAGACAAGAGGATGGCAAGTTCAAGGCCAGTCTCAGCAACTTATCAAGACCCTAAGCAATTCAGCAAGACCCTGTCTCAAAATAAAAAATAAAAAAGGGCTGGGGATGTAACTCAGTGGTAGAGCACCCCTGGGTTCAATCCCCAATTATAAAAGCAAAAACAAACAGAAAACCCGAACACAAAGTCGAACAAATAGTAGGCAGTCAGTAAATGTTATATATATTTTTAAATTATTTTTAGTTGTAGATGGACACAGTATCTTTATTTATTTATTTGTTTGTTTATTTATTTATTTTTGTGTGGTGCTGAGGATCAAACCCAGGTCTCTCACCTGTGAGGCAAATGCTCTACCACTGCGCTACAGGCCCAGCCCAAATGTTATATTTTTTCCATTCTTCCTCACACGATGACAATGACCCCTACCATTTATTGAGTATTTACAAGTATGTTTGTTTATGTGTGACAGGCATCTTACACACACTGTTCCTTTGATCCTCACTGCCACCTGTTGAAATGGGGGACTCTCCACTCATTGTTCAGATGAGGAAACTGAGAGAGACTTGCCTGTGACCTCATCACTGAAAATGGATGTGCTGGGTGGATTTTGCACCTGGGTCTGCTCATCTACATGGAGGATGCTCTTTGCTTTTCTGATCCTCAGCACAAGGAATGGCTACTGCCTTTGTAAATGGCTACGTCCTCAGCAAACTTGCTGAGCATGTGCGTGTGTGCATCTCATGAAAATGCACGTGTTTTCTACTTCAAGGTATTCACTTGGTACCTGAAAGTTGCCAATTTTCTGGATCTTAGTGGCTTCATTAGGCAGGTAGATGCAAAGAACTGTAAAACACATCTCTCCCTGCCTGCTGGTAGCACCTACTCAAAAGCTGAGCCTCAGTCCTGGCTGAAGACTGGAAAGGAAACTGGTCCCTCTTCCCCTGCTACAAAAGCCAGTGATTCCATGCCAAGGCAGGTCTCCCCGGGCCAGTCCAAAGGACTGGGTGTGGAGAGGAGTTTAAAATAGGCTTCAGAAAAAAGCCATGATTATTTAATAAGTACAATACATAACATTTATATTACCAATCTGTTATATTGTAATAGCACCGGATGTCCATGTCAGAGGGTCAGGGAAGCCTTCCCTGCAGAAATGTCCTGAGACAGGAAGAGACTCACTTTCCTTATTCTTCCTTCTGGCCCTATCTTCTAATCATCTGGTAGTTTCTGTGGTCAGAGCTGCCCAGGAGCACATGGATGGGTGTGGTGACCTGGGACTGCCTGGGTGAGGTTGAGGGAAAGAGACCAGGGGAGCCAGAGAGTGCACTTCCCAGGTGCCCACCACCGTGGCTATTCTCTGGGTAATTCTCACTTGTAACACAGCCATTCTCCATTTCCCCCACTTTTTCCCCCATTCCCCCCATTTTTGCTTTCTTTTTTTTTTAAAAAATAGACATTCAATCTTTCAGAAGTTTTTCCTAATTGGTGCATTATAATTATACATGGCAGTGGAATTCATTATGCCATATTTGTATTGCACATGACACAATTTGATCTTTTTAAAATTTTATTTAAAAGGTAAAAAACATTTTTTTTTTTGGTGCCAGGGATTGAACCCAGGAATGCTTAACTACTGAGACACATCCATAGCCTTTTTTACATTTTTTTATTTAGAGACAGGGTCTTGCTAACTTGTTTAGGTCCTTGCTAAATTGCCTAGACTGACTTTGAACTTGTGGTCCTCTGGCTTCAGCCTCTTGAGCCCTAAGGATTATAGCCATGTGCCTACACACCTGCCTCCAAACTATTTTTAATTGACAAGTAAAATTGTATGTACTTACCACGCACAACATGATATTTTGAAATATATCTACCCTGTGGGATGGCAAAAACAAATGAAATAATGTCTCACTTTGCACAAAAAGAAGCTGATTTTCAGAGGCAAATTAATGCCTCTGCCGAGGTCACACAGCTCGAGAGTGGGGCATTGGTCAAAAGGCAGAGCCAGCGCTCCCCCCAGCATACGGAGATGTCCCTGGAGAGAGGAGGCTTGGCTCTGCTGCCCTCTCTCAAGCGCTCAGAGGTCTGTCCTGTGACTGACAGACGCAGAGGTGTTTGTGACTTAGTGAGGTCGAGTTTCTTGGAGAAACTTATTTCAATATATTTTGTGTTAAATGCCTTGAAGCATTTGATAGGACTTCAGTATTCTTAACCAACTTGAAGGATCCCTTTCTAAATTATTATTTTCAAAAAAGACTGGCCTGGAAATGGTAATGGCCCCTTTGGAGGCATCTCAGCTACTGAGGGGAGGTCAGAGAGGGGACGGGGTTTTGTACTTCCTGGGAAACAGAAGCGCCCAATTCCAGGGCCTTGTGTGTCTTTCAAGGCAGGGGCCGTGCCCCGGAACCTCTCTGAACTCCAGCTGTCTGCAGCCTGACCAAGACATCCTCCTGTCCTCAGAGGCCACATCTACCACTTGTCTTCTTTCCTAGGCTAAAGGATTCGGTGCAAAGAATTCTAATAAATTCCTCATTACTGGACATCAGAAGGAAAGCTATTAATGAAAATAAATCAGATTTCATATTTTCACAGAACTGGGGTGTTCATTGCTTGCCCTTCTGCAGCAGCTAGATTTCCTTGTGCGTTCGGCTGGAGCTCCAGGAGGAACTAATCTTCTCATTTTGTGGCGTTTCAAATGACAGAAAGAAAATAATGCTTGCTTTGAACCGAGAGGAGATTGTTAGATGTTCAACTTGCCCTTTAAGTAGGCAAAAATAACACCCCTCTCGTGTATGATGAAAATGCTCCTAAAAATTTCAAGTTCAGATTAAGTGTCTGGCATTCCGAGAAAAGATGGTTTGGCCCAATAAGTCCTCATGGAAATGTTTTCCTTTTCTCAGTGTTTAACATTTTAAACTGAAGAGTGTCATGGAGAAGGATGAGAGGCCCGGGCAGGAGCCCAGTCCACAATGCATGTCACTGTGTCATCAGGTCTGCTCTGTTGGCGGGAAGGTGGGGTTGGGCGTATGGAGAGGATCTATCCCAGCAGGCCCTGCAGGTGCAGCATCATGAGCCGAGGCAGAGTGCTGTCCACACAAACCCATGGAGTAAATGGAATCCGAATGAACCCAAAGGAGGCCAGGCCGCGGGCTCTGAGGGATGGGGAAGGAGCTGGGGGCTGTGTTTCCTGAGGAGCTGGGTGCAGTGGCTGTGACCTTTGGGAGGACATAGGGAGGAGTCCTGAAGTCACATGCCCTCAGGGGCCGGGCCAACCAAGCCACTGGGCCTGAGCCCCAGGGAGTCTCAGTGCACTGTGGTTTTAACAGGAGCCTGACATGGTGCCGCCAGACAGAACACGGCTTTTCCCTGATGCAGGCTGAGGGCTGCCTGCCTGCGTGTGCCTCTTAGGGGGGCATTCTTTAACTTCAGCTTTGGCCTTGAGACTTCTGGAAACCTCCTCCCTCTGCGCTCCCTGCAGGGGTCCCTGAACTACTCTGCTTTGCTTTGCAGCCTTCCTACCTCATTCCAGCAGCTTCCTTCCTCCTCTGCACCTGAGCAGACTGAGAAAGTCCCAAGGGCTTGGCCAGAGCCACTGTTGGAAGTGGAACTCTTCCCTCCCCCCAACCCCCGTCGCCTGGCCTATGGGGGACAGGCAGGCACAGCTGTCCTCCCTGCCCTCCTGCCCCACTCCCAGACCTGCAGGCTGCACCCTGGCAGCCAGATTGGTGAGGGAGCTGAGGAGGAGGGCGGCGGACTTTGTCACTTCTGTGGCATTGAGTGACAAGCCCTTTGCTCACTCTGGGCCTCAGTTTTATTACCCATGAAATGGAAATTAAGAGTGATAACCTAGAGGAAAGTGGCTCAGACATGACCTGCCCAAAGGCTGTGTGCTTGTCCCCAGGGAGCTCAGGGTCTGTTGCCTGGCCCCTGGCAAGCATTGACAGTGCTGACTTGGACCACCACCTAAATGTCCTCTCCTTGTCTTGAGTTTATACGCCATGTCAAACGCTTCACTTCTGACTGACTCAGCCCATATTTAAGGTTTATTTACCTCTGTTGCTGGGCTGTCAGAATTAGAGAGCCTAAGGTCATGGGTATAAGAGCTTTCCCAAATTGTCCAAGGTCCAGCGCTGGATAGCAGACAGAGAAGCCTTTAGCAAAGCTCTTGGTGGTGACACTCGCCCTTGTACCACTTAGGATGTTGTATTCCTGGGCTCTTCGTGGTGAGGCCCTGTGGTCACAGTCACTGAGGGATGCGACTGTATTGCTAAAATTGATAGTTGCCACTTTGT